GTCTCTTCCAAGAATGAAGTGCATGCCAACTTGAGTCATGAAGAGAGATGTCAGTGCAGTCCATGGCAGCTGCTCGCTTCCCTGGGAAGGAAGGGGCTGCTCTGAGTACAGTAGCAGAGACCTCACTGCTCACAGAGTCACTAGTGGGAAAAGAACAAAGGCCCTTCCAATGCCACTAACACAGATGTGCCCAAAGGCACACTGTCAGAAACAGTTAAGTTGACAGCTCCTCACAGTTCATTATTCTCCTCTCACAGGTCACTGGGTGACAAGCTGGGTCACCATGCTTTGTTGGCTGCCCCACTCTTTCTCCACCTCTTATTCAATCTAAATACTGTTAAGGGGGTCCTCTGGCCAAGCAAATGTAAACAAACACATTCCAGATACTTAAAGATGACAAGGACGTTTATTTTATTTTGGATTAAACTTGAAATCAAATGTGTATACAACACAAAAATATTTTGCTAAAGGGTCAGTCAGCAGAGCAAACAAGAAAATACATCCTCCATTAACTAGTATCCTGCATTAGGACCTCTTATGACAAGAGAACTCTCGTTTTCAATGAGAAAAAGACTTTTCCCCCTGTCACAATGGAAAAAAGGATCAACAGTCAGACATCTCCCTGAGTGTTGGAAATAGGAATTATTTGAAATGACTTTCTAGGAGGGAGGACATAGTTCTTGGTTATTGTTTTAGATTGTGTGGCACTATGGGGTGGGGAAGAATGTGAGTTTTGTTTAAGAATAAAATTAAAAAGAACAGACAAAACAAAATGGCAATAGTTTGACCTACTTTTAAAAAAGTAACAGACATATTGGTATGGAATAAATAAATAAAGGTGGTAAGGAAAAGGGCTGTCTAGAGATTCACACAGTTCTGTGTTTGAATCCTACTCCTCTATAATAGAGATATTATAATATGCCTCAAAACTGTATTATGTAGATACTTTGAATTTGTTTCTGTAACTTCATTGATTTTGAAAGTAGTAATATCATCAGGTTATGAGAACAGTAAGCAAGTCAATCTCTCTTGATGCTATAAGAATAAATATGGAGAATAGCAGTGGTTGCATGGTAAGTATCCACCAAACAGCAGCTATTAGTTTCTTTTAATAAAATTCATATGTACAAAGCTGAATCACTAAAGCATAAATTATCTATGACAAGTTATAGTCACATGACTAGGAAAGGACTTTGAAAATGATTTGCTTCAAGGTTAGGCTTCTGCAAATCAGGGCCTCTAGACTACAGACCTACAAGGTTGGATGCAACAGGAAGCCTGGGATTTGGTCTTTTAAAGTTTTCTGCCTCTTATTCAGTCTTCGTGGAAAATGGCCCCTTTCATTATTCCCTTTCCAAATTCCTCTACCTTATTCAACAATCCGGATTTCAAGATACCCAGTTCAAATGCTAACTTCATCTGAAAAGCTGAGATCTGAAATGATAGGTATGACAAGAGCATGAATGGTTAAGTCATTCATGATAGATGCTAAGAACAGAATCTGGACGCTGATTGTCCTGCTTTAAATTACTGAGAAACTTCATTCAAAAAAGTAAATCGCCTCAATGTCAGTGTTCTCATCAATGAAACATAGATGAGTCAGTCCCCTGTTTACCAACTGTATAAATTATTGAATGATAATACATGCACATCACTCAATAAGGTCCCAAAGCCTCAGATGTCATTATTTTTAGCCCATGCTACCTGTACTAATTTCACATATTATCTGACACTATGGACCAATCTCCCTTTGTTTCCACTAGCTGACTGTTGTGGCTCCTATCTTCCATCCTTCTAGAGGATATAAAGCTAGATTCCTCCACCTAGTTCCTCCTTTCAGTTTTCCATTTTCACAACTCAGGTAATTTTATAACACTCCTTTATTATCTGCAATGAGCTTTGCTTTAATTGAATTAACATTGAGAAAAGCATGTATGACTATATATACATAAACATATATTTATATATGTTTATATGTAAATATTTGCATAAATATATGTTTTGTATATATATATGTATATAACACAATACAAGACATTGATTCTCATATTTTGAATACTCACAAGTCTAATGAGACCATCTAGGATTCAAAGTCACCAACACAATAAATTCTACACCACACTCTATTCTAATTTTTCCCACAGAGAGGAAAGTGATCACTGTAAGTACTGTACTGTTTATTTAAGAGGGTTTTAATAAATAACACAGAGAGAAATGAACTGGAACTGGATCTGCGGAGGTTGACTGTGAGGGGAGAGGGGTAGAAAGTCCTTCAACTCTTAAGAACAAAAGTGGGAAGCTCCAAGTGATGCCCTTGGAGAAAAGGTTGTTTGGCAATTTTTATTGAAAGGAAATTGCTGTGGAATGTTGTTCTGTATGCTGTTGATGTGTGTTGAAATAAAATGCTGATTGGCCAGTAGCCAGGCAGGAAGTATAGGCAGGATAATTAGACAAGGAGAATTCTGGGAAGAGGAGGGCTGAGTCAGAGTTACCAGTCAGACACAGAGGAAGCAAGATGACAAGGCAGAACTGAGAAAAGGTACCAAGCCATGTGGCTAAACACAGATAAGAATTATGGGTTAATTTAAGTATAAGAGCTAGTCAGTAATAAGCCTGTGCTAATGACCATGCAGTTATAATTAATAGAAGTCTCTGTGTGTTCATTTGGGTCTGAGTGGTTATAGACCAGGTGGGACACAGGAAAACTTCCAACTACAGGAAATTACAGATATATTTGCCAGTAAATTCTTATTGACAAAATCCACAAGTCTAAATATAGGAGTTCCAGAAAGTGTATAGAATTAAATTCTGAGATTGGAGAAATGGTCAGCATCTAAGGGCTTGTTTGGCTCTCCCAGGACTCAAGTTCAACTCCTAGTACCCATATTGGGCAGCTCACTACTCCCTGTAACTCCAGCTCCAAAGGAATCAATGCCCTCCTCTGGTATCTGCAAGTATTGTTCTCATGTGCTCATGCATACACACACACACACACACACACACACACACACACACACACACACTTAAAAACAAATTTTTATAGCTAAACTTTATATATCAATGTTTTCTACACTGACGCATATACATACACATTGTACCAATGTTAAAGTTTAATTTATAAGTTAGTCATAATAGGAAATTAAATTAATAACAACCAAAATAGAACAACATAATCCAATAAAAGTTGTGAATTGGTTATTTCTGGAATTTCTTTTGAAATATTTGGGCCCTAAGTGACCATAGGAGACTTGCACTGTGACAATGGATGAGCAGGGACCATGGTTTAATGCATGTTTAAAATCCTTTTGTACCTTATTTGTCTTCAGAACATTTTTAGAACTGCCATTCAGTGAGTGTTACTGATTTCCTAGACATTTAAAATTACCGCATCAAATTTAACAATTCCAGTATACAGTATATTAGCTAACATTATGTTTTGTGGCCAGGAGGATGGGGTGACACTCTTTCTGTTACTATGCTCCTTTCTCCTACATTCAGTTATTAGATTGTATTATCTTGGGGAATTCAAAGCAACATCAGAGTGGAGATGGCCAGTCTCTAACCTGTGGAGGCCCGTACCTTCAGAGAAAAATACTTCCAACCTGGGGAGGCAGAAAACAGAGAGTGAATAAATGACCACAAGGGCAGGGATTAGCATGGAAGAAAAAAAATCCTGTAGGCGTGACAGGAAACTGAAAACAGAAGCAATCTATTCTTCCAGAGTCCAGGACAAGAACTAAAGCCCAAGATGATAAAACCCAAATGCTCTGCCAAGAAAGATCCAGTAGATGTGGCTGTGTGAGTCTAGGAAGACAAACCAATGGTAGCTTCACAGAGCAATGTCAACACATCCCCAGGTGTCCTGGTATTGCTAGAGTTCCCCTTTCAGATAAAAACACTGAAGATTGCTCCCAAGGGTCTCTCACCACAATGACACAAGAACAGCACCAAACATGCTGTGGAGAGTGGCCAGGCCATATGGCTCCAGCCTGCACTCATGCCATAGAGCATCACAGAGTTGAGAAACTTGGGAATGCTTAAAAACTAAGTGCTAGAGAGGAAGTGTCCTGGAACCCGAACTCTGATGCCATCCAGGAAACCCTCACACTGTCGGAGAGTAAGATAGGAAACTTGGTATTTTTTGTGAATCTCATTATCCAAATAAGAAATCATCAGCTAAAGACAGAGTCACTTGAGATGGGTTATATAATTTAAGAATGTAAAATAGCCCCCAGCTTTACAAAGTTGTCAATTGTTCTTTTTCTTTCTAATACAAATGACACTTCTATCTGGATTACTGAATTAAAGTTACTGTGGCATTAAACTAAATCAATGTGTGTAAGAATGGTGTTACTTCTTTAAGATCATGTGACTGGACAGTCATTGCAAACAAGTATAGATTTAAATTGCAGCTTATAAAGTGATCGTCAACCAGTAAAACAATAGTTATAATAAATGTTAGTATCAGGGTAAGTTAGGAGAATGTGAAAAATAGTTTCATTTTCCAACCCGGAATAATTTGGAATTGTTAGCAAACCATGGATGCCACTTCCCCTCTGGCCATGGAAATGGTTAATGTGTTAAGTGTCACTATAGAAGGCCATCTAGTACCCTCAGATGCAAGTACAATGTACTCTTTGTAGAAAAATCAAAGGGATTGCCTGTGTTTGCTTTTCTCAAAGACCTGCAGGCACTTTCACAATTGGATAGATGCTCAGTATTGCCTTTGCTTAATTATGTTATTTCTGTGTGTTTCAGTGAGATTCTAAAACTGCAATCCATCCTAAGTATCCTCAAAAATGATTACATACATCAGCCTTCAACAAAATGCCCATAAATGTCACCTCTCTTCATCAAATGTGACCCTGAAACTACTATGATTGAAAGCCAAGGGGCTTTTGAGATATTTCAACAATCTTCAAGAAATCCATCTTACATGAAACTGAAGGAAAACGTCGAATGTCATTGAGCAATAAAGCTCCGCTCTGCCGATGCCCTACCTCTGAGCAGGAGCCTTGGGAGGTTTCCCTTCCAGTTTTCTCAGCAGTACCACTGCCGGCTGCCCTGTCCCCTCTAGAGAGCCTCGTGGCACATCCTGAGAATCCGAGGGTTCCGACAGCTGCTTCAGCAAAGGACTGTTGGTGTGGTTTTGCAAACCCTTGTAATGAGACATAAGAATGATGTAGTTAATTTTCATTGAGTGGAAATGTTTATGACATATGTACTCAAAACATAACCTTGAGAGGCTCCTGGTTCTCTGTGTTTTTCTACAGCATGGGATCTTTTATGCAGTCAGAACAAATGAAGGCAATGCTATGTGCAATACAGGGTATCACCCTCTGTTTAGCAAAATATCTATATAAATAGGCATCAATTTTATATAAATATAAATGTGCCTATGAATATTACAGTATAAGTCTGGAGAGGTGGCTCAGCAGTTAAGAGCACTGTGGGAGCCCATTTTCAGGTTCCTTGTGGCTTTACCCAGCAGGACCTGAGTGCAGGTGTCTGAGATGGTCTGCACTTGGCTATGGTGATATTTTATTTGTACTGAAATGTGATTTTATTTGTATGTTAATAAATAAAGTTGCCTGAGGGTCAGAGCTATCAGCAAGCCATAGCGAAAGCTGGGCGTTGGTGGCACACGCCTTTAATCCCAGAACTTGGTAGGCAGAGCTAGGTAGATCTCTGTGTGTTCAAGGATACAGCCAGCATGGAGACACACGCCTTTAATCTCAATACCAACCATAGAAGACCTGGAGGTCTGTACAGACAGGCAGTGACAAGGCAGTCATGTGGTTGGGTTTACAACCAATGAGAAGGTACAACAGAAAGTCTTTATAAAGACAGACACACAGGAAGTAGGTCTCTTTTAGAGAGGTAGGACCACCGTGAGAGGAAGGGTAAGGTTTTTAGCTCTTAGCTCTGACCTCTTGGCTTTCTTCTTTGCATTGGTTCTGTGTTTCTTATTGAATAAAACGGTTACTTCTACACTTGGCTGTGCTGGGGGGAGGTCTTTTGCTCCACCCCTTGGTGACTCTATAAATACCCTGGGGCAGAGACAGTCAGGGCCCGTTGGAGTAGGTTCCAGGCCCTCTTGAGGCTATCCTGTATTTTCTATCTGTTTATCTCCACACTCTAAATCCTTCTATCTAATATTTCCTGCTGCTCGCACTCAAGAGCACACTGGGGAGCTATGGGGTTGGTGGGTAAACGCCCCACAGAGCACTAGCAGAGCTTTTCCACAGGGCCTGGGTTTGGTTGGTTCCCAGCACCCACACATGGCAGCTTACAACTATCCATAACTCCAGTTCCAAGGGATCCAGTGCCCTCATCTGGTCACCATAGGCACTAGGCACAGACACACAGTCCATGTATAAACATGAAGGCAAAACACTCACACACAGAGAATAGGTCTTTAAAAAAAAAAAAAAAAAAAGAACATTACAGCATTTTGTGACTTAAACAATCAACAGCATTGTCATGAGAATTTGTGCTTGTTTCCTGAAAGCAACAACTAGAATACTTATTCCCTTTTCAAGATATACTTTAGAGGTCTGTTTCTGTCTTGCCTCTGGCCACCACACTGACCTCTTCCACACAGGGTTTGCCGTGTTCTTGATGAGCTGTGGTCCAGGCTCTGTGGTGAATATGGTCCTCTGTTTGGCTCACATCCACTGGAGCAGTGAGGTCCTCCAGGTAAGTCAGGACAAACTGAGGATAAGCCTGGAAAGAAGGAAACAATTAAATACAGTGCCAGCCTAGTATGCTACAATTGGAAATTGAGGTAGGTAAATTAGTTGTAAAATGGCTTAGCTAACAAATTTCATGTCAAATCACTTTGGTTGACAATTTGTTTTTTAAACTTTGGAGATACATTAGCTAGGGAGATTATCTTTATCTTTACACAGTTATGAGAATACCTAGGCCCGGGGAGAATGGCTGTGTTGATAGAGTACATCCAAGTATGAGGATCCAACTGATCTCCAGAACCCATGAGAAAATAAAATCCAGGGATGGTGGCAAGAGTTAGTAATCCCAGCACAGGGGAGATGGTTGGTGATAGGCAGGTCCCTGGGCTTGCTGGTTGGCCAGCCTGTCCTTCTTGGTGTTCTCCAGGCCAGTGGGCAAATTATCTCAAAAACCAAGGTGGGATCAACACTAAAAGTTGCTCTCTGCCCTCTACACACATGTACATGTATAGGCACGTACACCCATACCAACATGAGCACTACATGCACATATATATGCAAAAACTCACATACCAATAACTACAATTTTCATTTCTATTCTCAAAATATGACTGTGAACATGTATGTACATGTGGAAAATATGTAGTTCCTGTATGGCTTGGCAGTCCTCAATTCTGTTAGACAACAGACAAGGGAATACAGAATGGGAATAAAATAGCTGTGTGAAGTGGAGACAGTCTATACATATCAGACACAGACTAAGAGCATTGTCTGTGAACATGGAATGAAAAGGAGAAGGCAGCCGGGCGGTGATGGCGCATGCCTTTAATCCCAGCACTCGGGAGGCAGAGGCAGGCGGATCTCTGAGTTTGAGGCCAGCCTGGGCTACCAAGTGAGTTCCAGGAAAGGCGCAAAGCTACACAGAGAAACCCTGTCTCGAAAAACCAAAAAAAAAAAAAAAAGAAAGAAAAGGAGAAGGCAACACAGATACTAAAGAGCCATGATTTATTTTAGCTAGCAACCACAGCAGCAAACATTTTGGGTATATAAATATAAAAACAGCCTACAGGGTATACAATAAGAATGAGCTGCTGAACCAGCCACACATGGTGTGCCCTGCTAATTCTCACTTGGGATCATCTGCCATCTGTTCATTGAGCTTCCTGTGAACACCATCACTGGCCAAGTGTGCTTGGACACAAGCTCTCACTGTCAGGGAAGAGTGATGCAGCCCAGACAGAGGTTATAGACATTAAGAACAAGACTTAGGGGATGTGGCCCTTCCACCCACCTGCAGCTTATTTTATGTGCATTGTCTACCTATCTCTTTCTATGTGCATTTTCCCTTGTTCCCAGTTGGTGGAGGAAATTGTGGTCTGAGCATTTTAGTTTGGCTTGTACATCTTTGCTGTTCCATGAACTCTAGGATAGTTTGCCTTCTAGTATGCCTCCAAGATGTCACTGTATCAAATGGCTGTCCATATGACCATAGGTTCTTCTCTTCATCCCTGCAACAGGCTTTGAAATAGCTGCTATTAAGGTGCCCACGTTAAAGATGAGGTGATAGTCACAGCAAAGTCACTGCCATGCTCAGTGTTACCAGCTTACTTACTAATCTAGAAAGTCCAGGTGTACTCTCTCAATTATTACACAAGGTTCTTGTTCCATTTTGTAAAGTGTGGGACTAAGGTTCTAACAAAAAATACCAAGAGGAGTTCAGTAAAGAACTAATGGCACTGACTGTTTTATACTGTCCTAGAAATAAAATGAGAGTGAATGACTTCAACCTTAAACTTTGCTTAAGAAAGTGAGTGAGTAGAGGCTGGAGAGATAGCCCAGAGGTTAAACCAGTAAGCTGAGGAAGAAAGGAGAGACACAGAAATAAATGAGGAGAAAAAATACAAGTTAAAAGCACTGTGAACAGAATTTCTGTTGGATTAGTCAAGGACTGTCAAAATGTTAAGGGTATATTCCCTCCGAGTTAACAGACAAATACATTCAAGCATGTTCATTGCAGCAGCATGGCACATATCTGCTTCAATGTGGATCTCCAGTAAGTTTTTAAAAATAGCATTGATATGGATGTAAACATGGAAAGATGGTCATCCTATGCTATCAAAAAGAAAATTATGATCACAAAATCATATGTACAGCTGTGTGTTATGTCGTATCTAATTAACTAGTAATTATATGATATCAGTGTTGATATGAATATTTGAATATTACTGAGAGGTGCTTTTGGTTTTTGTTTGTTAGAGACAGTACCCTGGAGCCCAGGTTAGCCTCACTCTTGCTATGTAGTTGAGGCTGGCCTTAAACTCTTGATCTTCTTATCTCCACTTCAAAGGGCTGAAATTGCAAGTATGTGTCATCATATGCCTTCTGCCCATATTTTCATTTATGTTTTATTCAGTTCTAAATTGCTGGAGGTTTTTATTCAAGAATAACATATGTTGTTTTTATTACTTAAATGAGAACCCTGTAATGTGTGAAAATATGCACATAATAACTTCTGGGAATATATATATAAATAGTTCTGGGAATTAGAATAAAGAAGAATTTGAAGAGACCATATGTGTTATTATGTTTTTATAGTAACCTTTGTTGTGCAGAAATATTACTCATACACAACTTGGTGATTTAAAAAGAAAACAGTTAATTTCTGTAGTCCACATGCTCACAACCTTGAAAAAACACTCTCGAGTCTCCAAGTTCACCTAAAACATTAGCAAGAAAGCTTAAGATTTAAAAATTTTTACGTTATCTTGAGATTTATATCACACTTACTGTATTATGTTGCTTTTTTATTATGCAAGTTCTTACTGTCTGACACATAATCATGACACCAGCTAAAGAGAGCATGACAAGCAAAAAAGGAGATTGTTCTATATTGTTTCTACAGGAAAGTATCAATCACAAGAGACTGTATTTTCAGTATGAGGGACAAAGAAAACCAGAAGAACAAAATTATCATGCCATCATCCATTTTGTAGATAAAGTTCCAGTCCTCATCTCTGCCTATACATGTATTTCTTTGGTATAATGCAAACACACCTAAGTGATATGCTATCATGAACATGCTTCAAGGTCTGCCAGTGTACCTCCCACTTCAGGGTGAACAGCTGTAAGTGGGAGTTCTGAATTAAAGGAATGTGAGGATGATTCAAAAATCATTTTGATTATGTTTCCAAACAGACCCCCAGAAATAATGGACCATTTGTATTCATTCCTTTGTATAGTCGCTTTCCTCATTTGCCAGCATAGGACCTAAAGAGTTTGGCAGAAGTGGTAAATGACCTTATCAGAGACACCAATACTGGTATTTCCCCCTACTTCTTTTCTTGTTATGACAGCTCACATTATGAACGGTGCTGTAGGGGGAGGTCACACTGTGATGGACTAACACCTCTGGGCAGCAGTAAGTGTGAACATGCTCAGAAGCTGACTTCCCAATCTTGACTCAGTCACAGACTTCTGAAGCTCTTGGTTGACATATTGGCCCCATTCTCATGAGAAATTCTGAGTTAAATTCTCCAGTGAGGGGCTGGAGAGATGGATCAGTGAATAAGAGCACTAGCTATGCTTCCTGGGGATCAGGTTTGATTCTCAGCACCCACAAGATGGCTCGCAACCACCTATAATGCCAGTTCCAATACCCTCTTCTGGCTTCCCTGAACACTGGGCATGCCTGATGTGTACAGACAAACATGCAGACAATATACTCATATAATGATGATGATGGTGATGATGATGATGATGATGATAACTACAGTGAAGCCACTTTGGATTCTCAGCCCATGAAATCATGAATGTTTGCTGTTTGAAGTTTCTGTGCTTTGAAGGTAAGTTATTACACAGTAAAAAAAAAACTAATGCTGATCAGAGGTGAGGTGTGTGTGCCCCCAATACCTTCATCAGACTGGAGATTCCCAGGTTTACTATCACTCTAATGAGAGGAATATTACACCACATTTCTGACAGTTGTTGACTCTTTAGTGAGATCACATGCTTTATTTAGCTTGGCTCTTTTAATTTTTCTTCCAACGTGTTTTGTTTTCATGTCCTTTGCCCTTTTTTCTATCAAAGGTTTTAAAACTTTCCTGTTGAAATGTCAGACTTACCATATATTAACATGTGATCTCACTCTCCAATGCTGATGTTGCAACGATTTTTCCATATTTCCTTACTTACTATTTACTTTCTTTGGTTTTGTTTTGTTTTGTTGAGATGGGATCTCTCTATGTAGCCCTAGTTGCTCTGGAACTCTCCACATAGACCAGACTGGCCTTGAACTTACATCTGTCTCTGGCTCCTGATTTCCAGTATTGAAGGTATTGACCACCATGCCCAGCTTCCTTATTTGCTTTTTGCCTAAGCTACTATTAGCTTAGGAGGTTTTAATTTTTACATGCTCAAAGGCAGTCTTCTCTTATACAGATTCTATCCTCATTTCTATGCTTCTAAAATTACCTACTTATACTGACTACACTGAGTTAGATGTTTCAATGTACATTTTTCTTCTGTGTGCATATTCAAATTTAAATACTTAATTTAGCTGTAGTTAGTTGAATATCGACAAAATGTGATTTTATTACTTTTTGCAAGTGAGTAAAGAAATAGTTGACATCAAAAAGAAAAGTTATCCAAGTAAAAACAACAAAATAAGATGCAATAAATGTATTTAAAATTTCCTGTTATTATCATTATTAGCTGCAAATTACCAATTAGCTGTTCTAAGCCAGGATCTGTGCCAAATGCTCACAATGCTAGCATTAATATTGCTACTTTGCAGATGAAGAATGTAAAGCTCAGAAAGGTTAGGTGATTTGCCTAAGGCCACACAGCTAAGAAGTGTTGGAGCCAAGATACATTTATAGTATCCTATAGCATCAATTCCATCCTTAAAAAAACAAAATGGCATGAGCACAATTCATGATCCAGCTGCAGATAATTACCAAATTATCCTCCACTTTATCTTTAAATATATGGAAATAACTTGGATATGACTAAATGTGGAGCTAGTTGAAATTTCAAATGTTTCAAAGACTGAAATGCTTTCATTAATAAATAGTTTCTCTCTGAAAATTTATAATAATTATAGAAAAATCAGTGATTGTATTTTTTTTAATGAAGTTTAGAATCTAAACCTACTTAAAACTAACTTGTGTTTTAAGTAGGCAAGCATGCATCATCTGCTTGGAGGGATATGCTCCTGTGAGGACCAGACACAAACACGGTGAGGACAGAAGCTGCACACTGGATGGGGTGGGGGGGTACTTGAGTAGTGTTAGTAGGACTTTGCTCACAGGGACAACACTGGAAACAACCAGAGGGAAGAGTGAGATGATTTAGACTCTTGGTTTCAGTGCATAGTCATTTGGCTCCACGTCTCTGAGTCTGTGGTGAGGAAGACAATCAAGGCTGAAGGGCATAATGGAGAAAGCTGTTCACTTTGTGACAGCCAGAGAGGAGCATGAGTAGGATGAGGGAAAGGCTAGCACTATGCACACCTTGCAAGAGAAAAATGATGTATCCAGCCCCGGCCCCTACCTGTCCAATTTCTACCACTGCCTATTAGTTGGTTTGATTTTATTCATCAGTGGATCAATCAGTTAATTTTGTTAGAGCCCAAATGTTCCAATCATCTCTCAATGGTCCACTAACTTGGTTTCAAGTCTTTGACACATGAACCTTTGGGGGATACTTCACATACAAATCACAAGCACATGTACTGGGGAGAAAAGATGAAGGTGGACCTGAAACTTGGTTTGTTCCACATCTGTTGTATGGGAAGTGAGACTTACTATGAGGTATTTTAAAAGTATTCAGCATCCTTAGCAATCAGGGAAACACTAAATAATGTTAAGGATGTTTTATACAACTAGATGGAAACCTATAAGCTTTCTAAAATGTGTTCTTTAATTTTATTTTTAATTCTCTCTCTCTCTGTCTCTCTCTCTCTGTCTCTGTCTCTCTCTGTCTCTCTCTGTCTCTGTCTCTCTCTCTCTCTCTCTCTCTCTCTCTCTCTCTCTCTCTCTCTCTCTCTCTGTGTGTGTGTGTGTGTGTGTGTGTGTGTGTGTGTGTGTGTGCAGTGTGTGCACATGATTGATGGTGTTCACGTATGGCAGAGGTTCTGGGTCTACCTGGAGCTGGAGTTAAAGGTGTCTGTCATAAGGGTGGTGGGAAGTGAACCTGGGTCCTCTGCAAGAGCAGCACATGCTTTTAACTGCTGAGCCATCTTTCCAGTCCCCAAATCGTATTTTTAAAAGTAGTTTAACTGGAATACCCCCACATGGGGGATAATGCTCCCAGAAATCTTAGACTGTCAAATAGCCCAGTCACAGGTATGGGGTATATCTTTCTTCAAGATGCTGGCCAGGGATTGCCAAGAGACCCTCAAACAACACAGTCTCCCACAATTGCACTTGGTTGCCCACCAGAACTTGAAGGCAAAACTCTATTACTAAAGACAACACCTCATCCTTTGGTCCAAAAATCAAGCATGTACTGAACTAATCTTATTTTAAAGTGTAAAGAAACAAACTCTGAAGTACTGAGTCAATAGATTATGAAAAATTAATTTTCACTTTGAAAAAATGTTTTTTAAAATTAAACAAAAAATCCAGGGCAACCGTTGAGTTAAACTAAAATTTCAGTTTCAAAGCAGAAAGCAATATCATTTGTGCAGATACAGAATCTCTTTATAAAACAGTTTATTTTACATGAATCTAAGAACAACTTTTCTAAGGAATAAAAGTTGTGGCTTATCCAGTCCTTACCTTAGAATAAATACAGCCATCTGTTCCAAACGTCCACTTCTGGGACTCATCTCCTTCATGTCTGCAAGTGAAAACAGAATAAAAACTGTTGCTTCTGCTCCACACAGAAATAGTTCTGGGTTTTAAATCAAATGGTTGGTCACTTTTTCATATAATCTGGCAATAGACCTGCCTCACTCTACTGCTGCAGCACTGTGGTACGCAAAACCCTGTGTGTGATGTGGTGTGTGTGTGTGTGTGTGTGTGTGTGTGTGTGTGTGTGTGTGTGTGTGTGAAATACTTGTATTTCCAACAACAACATTGACTAGGAGTTTTAGAGATTAAATATATTCAGCAAAGTATTGTAGAGGCTGACACTGCAACCCATGTCTATAATCGCTGGGGCAGGAAGACAACCCATGTCTATAATCGCTGGGTGCATAAGAACTCAATAAAAAAAAGAAGAAGAAAGAGAGGCGGGGGAGAAAGTAGTGGGAGGCTTTGCTGGTTGGATGTTGCAGTGTGCCATGGCCTGGCAACTCTCTCCAAGCTTGGCAACATGGACAATCCCCCAACTCCCTTTCTCTACCTGACCTTATTTGGAGACTGTCTTTAGGCCTGAATGCCTCACTTATCTCTAGTATGACCCTGGCCACAGTTCTCTGCAGAAGCTTTCCCCCTGCTGCCCATATGGTAATTAGACATTGTGCTAGGGACATTATGATAGGACCATGTTTCCACAAATGATAGCTAAGACTTGTACCAGGAGCTTTGTGATAGGAGTGTGCTGTTTAATCCAAATTAGGTGATTCCCTGGCTACTGTTCCCAACCCTATATATTCCCTATATTCTGGAATAAAGTTGAACTGATTCACTCAAGTTATCTCCTGGAGGCCTATCTCTGTCATGCTCACAGGCCTTACAAAGCTCTTGTCATCGCTTCTGCCCCTTGTTTCATGGATTGGTGTCCAACAGACAGAGAGGAAAAAGCGACCCTCATGGAAAGGAAGGAAGGAAGGAAGGAAGGAGGGAAGGAAGGGAGGGAGGGAGGGAGGGAGGGAGGGAGGGAGGAGAATAAAAATATAGAAATTTCTACATCTTCCCCCCACAAAATAATCCTTCCTGAGAGGAAAGGAGAATGGCTTAACTGTGTTTAAAGTTGAAGATGATGGTGTAGAACACAATATCATGAAAAAAAAAAAACAGGAACCTCATGCAGCTCTTCTGAGATGGTTGAGGAATTTTGTTAAGGTAAATCATATATTCTGAACTAAATTTGAATGAGAAGAAACATGAAGTGTAATGAAGCTAATCGTGCCTAATTAACTAATCATGTATTCATTAATATCAAGAAACTTTACAACAGTACGACAAAATGAATTCAATTAAGTGTAACAGGATGTTAAACAGGACTTCTCCTACTGCCTCGGAGTTTTGACAGACCCATCAGAGGTTGAGAATATGAGGTATCAGGAGCTAGTATGTTCTGAAGTTCATTGTAAATCATAATCAGTTTAGCACGCGAGTCCTCCACACACACCCAGCTAAGAGCACAGAAGCCATGCTGCAGTGAGTGCTTGCTAGCAACGTGCATTGCCAGGCCCTGTTCTCAGAGGTTTGATGCTGAAGGTCCTGAATCTCAAGTCCAGCAAGCTGCATCCACATGGATTCTGTGCCATTCTAGTCAAAAGAATTTGGGAAATACAGACGAATGTGGTCTCTGGATGAGACTTTGGAAACACAGAACTGTAATGATGCCAGAAGTAAGGAAAGAAGACACAATATTTGTAATTGTGAAATAATAAGAAACAGATTGATTCTGCCTCGGATTTTAGATGCAGAATTCCTTAAATGTCTTGGAACCTTCTGGGTGTCAGAACAGCTTTGGCTCTAATGATGCAGGTCTCGTGGGCTCCAGGATGACAGCTGGTCACCAGCTTAAAAAGACTGAGTCATGATGCAAGATTAGAGTTTTCTCTTCACTCCCAACTTCTGGGAAGAGAAGGAAAATACTGGAAATTATGTTACCAATTAATCAGGCCTCCATTCGAAACTATGCTGGTTTTGGTTTGGGAGCACACCCATGTGTCCGGAGGTTGATGTACAGGGTTCCTCAAAGCAGAAGTTCCTGAAACCGGGACCCTTCCAGCCACGGTTCTGTGTGTCTCTGATTACCCGCTGCCTTTGTGCATCCTGCATATAAGTGAGCAAATGCTGGTAAGTGTTTCTGTAAGCTCTGGAAGCCGATTTCACAGTTACTGAATCTGCACTTCTGACATCTGAAGCTGGTACCGAGGCCTTACCCTGTGGAAGCTAACACTAACTACAACAACTCCATGTCAATGTGCGAACTGAATGGCATGGGTGGACAGCCAGCCGATGTCTGTGGAAAAAAAAAAAAACTGACGGTACAAAAAGAATCCTCACATATCAGAAGGGAAGTCTATACAGTAAAGAAGTAGTTTACTTTCCTATACAAAGATATTATAAAGGGAAAACTGGTAACCACAGCTACAGAGTAGCGGCTAGAGAAGCTGGCCAAAGATTTGTTCCAGAAAACTGGGCCGAATAAGAGAAATGTGACACGATTAAAGAGAATGACTTATTTCCCTTTCTTAGTTATCGAGGTGCTGGGGACTGAGCTAGGCATCTTCATTCATACCAGACAAGTGTTCTACTAGACTGAGCTGCATCCCAGCCCTATAAAATGAAATTAAATGGATAAGAGGGAGCACAGATGTGAGAAAACATAAAACATTTTAATGCTTACATAAAAATGTTAATGAACTAATTTTCAAGGCATATTCTCCCTGAACAAGAATTCCAGTTTTAAGCATTAAGCCAACTGAATTGTTGCTCAGTTTAGCCTCAGGTGGGTGATGGAGGCTCTGAGGAGCATTGTTATTCTAGAGTTCCTTGTATAATAATCCATAAAGGTTAGTAAAGCAAACAAGAAGCTTTCTTATTTAGTCTTATTATCAGTCTTATTTATTAGGGCTTAAAACTAAAATTATCATCCTGATAATAACAGTATATCCTAGAGACAGTGCACAGACTGAAATTTCGATTTGAACTGAGGAGGAGTTACCCTACTCTTCATCTTCCTTCATGGACAATAAAGTGAGATACAGAAAGGTAAGGTGGGCTGGCCAGAATGACAGCCACAGGCGGTGTGCAGGGGTCCTAGACTTCAGACCCTGACCTCCAGCCCAGAACTGTCTCAGTTCCATTAGAAGCCTGTAACACTAGCCATTTTTACATCACTTCAAGCGGAGTAATAATATTCACATTGTAGCATCATTGGTTATAATCTGAATATAATCTCAGTGACTTAACATATCAATACATGCATAAATATTTTAATATAATTATGTTAAAATGCTCACCAAATAGTTTCATGTTGGGATTTTCTACCCAATACTGACAATGCTCATATTTTAACAACTAAATAGAGAAAAATATTGTTTAAAAAACAATATTGTTGGTTAAAGATTATCAATTTAGAAGTTTTAAATGTTCTTTATTTTTATTTTAAACTTTCTTACTAAAAAACACATTGCAAATAAAAAAAAAAATCACACAGTGAAATTAACCAGACCACAAAATTGTACAATTCACTAAACTTCTACACTGTTAGAATAAACATTTTATTTTTTTATTTGTTCATTTATTTTGGTGTTTTGAGACTCAGTTTCTCTGAGTAGTCCTGGCTGTCCTGGAACTCACTCTGTAGACCAGGCTGGCTTAGAGCTGAGAGATTTGCCTGCCTCTGCCTCCTGAGTGCTGGGATTAAAGGTGTGTGCCACCCCTCCTGACTAGAGTAACCATTTAAAAAAGTTATATAAGCACACACATGTTTTTTCAAACCTCCCTAGATTGTTTGTCACTTGGTCCCTTTCTCCTTCTGTATCACCCACCCCACTTCCTCCAGTTAGAGCTATAGACAATCAATGGCTGCTGAGAGAGAGAGAACCAGTTTTCCCCAAGGATGAGTCCCCTGGTAGGTTATCCACCCCCAAGTGGTCAGTACTAAACGTGTTCATATGAGCAACCCCAACAGACTCTGCGGTTGTATGTGTGTATGAATACATGCGTGTATGTGTGTAACAACAATAGCTGTAAGAGAAGGATTCAGAAAGCATAGGACAAGTTGAAGTGGGGGAGAGAGGAAATGATGTAAATATAACACTCATGCATGAATTATTTTTAAAAATAAGACATTTAAGTTAAATTTAAAACAGTGATTACTTTGATGGAAATATGCTATGTTGTAATCAATTTTTGATCATGTTTGTAATGAGTCAGAACTCAGTGTACTTTTATTGCTTACAGGCCATCCTTCCCATTGCAGAAATTATTGTGAACATATTTAACATCAAATGAAGTTTATAAATTTTCAAAGTCCTTCACCTGTGATCAGTAATTAATATTTCAATGCTAACTATCCAAACCTATAAAATTTAAAGTTCTGCCTGGAATAAATTATGGTTTTAATTTTGGCTTTTTAAATCATGGCACCTTTCTCCAAGAATAGTAAACATAATAGGAAAGATCCCCACAGTCAGACAACTATAGAAACAGAATCCATGCATGTGCTCAGAGATAATTCCACTACTAGGTACAGGACAGGAGACTAGAGTTCTCTTCTAACAAATAGATACATATAAAACATATCAGAATGTTCGTACCCTAAAATCCATAGTAAATCCATTGTGGGAAAAGGTTTTCAAATGATTTTTTGGCTGTTTAGAGGATTTGAAAGACCGTCTTGGTGTTAAAGACAATAGGATACACCTGGATAAGCAATTGAGAAACAGTTCTGAAAGGAATGCCAGTTTCCTAGTTTCTGTCATGTTTAGTCAACTTGGTTTGCACACACATGTGCCTAGTCAATTTTAGTAGAAACATGTAGCTTTATATCATCAATAAGACTTGAGAGTTTGCTAACAGCTTTCCTATGGGGAGCCTCCAATTGATACATAATTCCTTTACATTTTATCAAGGTCATTAAGAAAACAAAACTGACATGTGCCACGTCAGTAAGATGAGAAGCTATCAGTCTAATGTGTAACAACTTACTCA